CAGCCCTGGGGAGCTCCTGTACTTAGTACCAGGGTAGAAGAATGGTGAGATCCCATCCTTACTGACTGTGGCCTATCTGTCAGAAAATCCTTTATCCACATGCAGATCTCCTGAGGTAATCCCAGGTTGATCATTTTAAAAAACAACCTATTTGGTAGAATGGTATTAAAAGCAGAGCTATAATCCACAAACAACAGCCTCACATAAGTTCCCTGTTGTTGTAAGTGGCTCAATACAGTATGGAGTACAATGGACACAGCATCATCAGTAGATCTATTTCTCCTGTATGCAAATTGCCATGGGTCCAAAGAAGGACCCATTATTATTAACACTTATTCTTTGGTACTTTTCCTACTTCCTACATGACACCACAACCAAGCAACACAATGACAGTAAAACACCATGTTGCCTATCAGATTCTTGGACTATATTTTCTACATTATACAGATACTTGAACTATACTTGTGGCATCAACCTAATTGGAAGTACACCACATTGCTCCACTTTGAATGGTATCAGGAAAGGAGCATGAATGTTGTGACCAACTCTATCAAGCTGCCTTCCCCAAGTTACCAACATGGATCAATACTTTTCACAGGACACAAACATGTTTATGCCTCCTCTGTGTTGGTTGTTCCTTAATTGTTCCTGTGCTAACAGAATATCCTTATTCCAACACCTTAGCAAGAGAGAAGATAATTCTAAACATGCTAATAATTCCTCCCTAATTCAAGTCATTCTGCCTTGGTGGCTTTGCTTGTGGTAGCCCAACCTTATGGTGTTCTAGATCATAGTTAAAGCCTACCTGTTTTCAAAGGTATTTGGAGATACTTAACATTTATGCTTACTGATGCTAATGGTTCTAAAGGGAGCTTTCACTGTGGTTTGGAAAGACAGTAACTTTCAATGGTTTTCTTAATGTGTTTTCATGTTCTATTTATTTTCTGAATGCTTGGATAAGAGGCAATGTGATTTATATTTTCTTTTTTAAAAAGAAATAGAATGAAAACATGACTATAGAGCTGAAACCACTGCACAATGTTAACTGCAATAATATTTGGTTATGGGAATTAGATAAAATTGTGAACTCAAGATGCTAAATCTTTTGAGTGCCAGACATGATGATATTTGTAAATACATCAAGAAAGAAGTTCCAGAACCACTATATAAGCTCATTAATTCTGGAATGAAAAGCTGCCTGTTGTTTAGCTGACAAACTGGTGCCGGTCGTGTTAGAACTAAATTAGAATAATTGAATAAGCCTGGATGGTTTTCACATAGATCTCCGCTATACTTTTGGCCATCTACTTTTTCCTTTATTCCTGATGACCACCTGTTTCTGCTTTCTATTTTCCTTTGTTTTATTCCTTTTATCTATCTCAAAGTTACAGATAATCATGATTTTACCCACCTCTTCAGCATTCAATATATTAATGAAATCTGCTGATTTTTCAAACACTTTTGACTCACCTATCCTGAAACATCAGAGCTTTTTCAAGAGGAATCATAGGTGAACAAGTTCAGTGTTTTGTGTTATTCTCAAGACACAGTGTATCTGTAAGTGAATTCTGCATTTTATACATGTCAGAGATTACAGATTTCCTGTTACCCTACACAATTTTAAAGAAGGTATAATGGACATCTTTAATTTTGCGACAGGTTAAACACTATTTTTTTGTAATCTATCACTGCACATATTCTGAGTATCTGATTTGGTTGGCTTGGAATTGTGCTTGTTAGAAAACAAACATTTTGAATAATGCTTTAAAGTTTCAATAACAAAGAACCAAGAATATCATGATGCACAAAACTATGTTTGGGAGCAAGTCATTAACAGTCTACTTTATTAGATCAAGACAAAAATAAAAATAACACATAGGAGTTTCCTACCTGGACACTGAATGAAAGACCATTCATAATTTTTCTCTTTGGGGCAAAGACTGTTCTCAAGAACCATTTCAGCAGAATGCATCCCAGTCAACTTCACTGGCCCCCTTGAAGACCCTTCCACACAGTGGCCTTTGCCTGTATTACTGGGATCACTGCACCATCCACAACCTGGGTGTTCCAGACATTGTCCACAAGTCCTCAAACCAGAGCAGTTTTGAGCTGTAACACACACATTATAAACAATAGTCTTTAAAAAGATCAGTTCTCCTGTACAAAGGTTAGTATGATATTAATAGAAAACAGTTCTATATAATTTGGCAATTTTCAATTTCCTAGCATACTCTTGCAAAAACTGATTTCAACCTCCCGGCAATTTGTCTTGCTAGTTGTTCCCAGATTAGTTACAGATAGTGAAAGAGAATTTTTTTTAAACAACCAGGTTCTTTTTCAGAAACACTTATATGGAGCCTTTGCGATCTCATTAGAATCGTTAACATTCATTTCAAACATCAGAAGCAACAATGTGTTTTGAAAGCTCTGCTAACCAGAATTCCTATTTTAAAAGAAGGTATGTTTATCTGCCAAATCCCTTGATTTTCAAACCAACTTCATCATTTTAGGCTCCTGGCTGTGTAGAGAAATACCACTGAGTTCAGTGTGCTTTGATTCTCAGCAGACTTGTATAGGAATGTGCTAGGAGGAACTGACACCATTTTGAACATACAGTATAAGAGAGAATTCGCTTTCTCAAGAACCCTATTTCTCTTTCTGTTTACTTGGAAATTAGTGTATTCACTGGGATTCATTTCCAGGTACATATGCCTCCTAAAGAAGGGAAACCACTTCTGAGTATTCTCTACCTAGAAAAGACTGGAAAAGGGTCAATATGAGTCAGAATTGACTTGACAGCATATGATTATTATTATATATGTGCACTGAATGGTAGCTTTCACTACTCTGCATCTCTAGAATACATTCTGAGATGTATGTGTAATATGTTTTTCATTCCGCTCCTGATCTGACATAAATATATCCTTAATATATATGAAATATTAAGTATGACAGCCAATGTGATGTAGTGTTTAGACTGTTGATATAGGAGTACAGTGGACCCTTGACACGTACGGCTCCACTTACAAATGTTTTGACCTATGGAATTCTCTGGCCACAAAATTTCACTTCGACTTGCGGCCAGAGAATCAACCTACGGACCGAAAAAAAGTGGGAGAGGCTGGGAAAGCAGGAAATTTTAACTGCTTTCAGTTGACTGTTTACCAGCGAAGAGAGTAATCTGCTTCCTCACTTGTCCCGGCGGTTAGAGAGTGGTTAGGGAGAGTTTTCAGAGAGTTTGCCTGGCACTCCCTGGTACAGTGCTGTATACTGTACTACGGACTTTTTTTATTTTATTTTTTATTTATTTTTTGATTTTTGACTTTTTAAGCAGAGAGACTGCCTGTTCTGGGTGAGTACTGTACTGTACATGTACTGGGTTTTTTTGCAGCTTGGAGGTTGGGGTTAGGGCTACACAACATCTCTTCTGCAGCCCAGCAAGTGATCAGCAACGTCAAGAAGCTGTACACAAAGGCACTTTTCACCAGGTGCTTCAAAATCATAGAGGAGACGTCCCTGACCCTGAAAGAGTTCTGGAAGACACATTTCAATGTCCTCCACAGCATCAGACTCATCAACAAGGCCTGGCAAGATGTCACAACCAGGACCTTGAACTCGGCCTGGAAAAAACTGTGGCCAGAATGTGTCGCAGACAGTGGCACTAAGGGGACTAATTCACAGGTGGTGAGGGACATTGTCGGCATGGGTCTAGAAGTCGATGAAGAGGATGTAGAGGAGCTGGTTGAAGAACATGAAGAGGAGCTGACGACGGAAGAACTTGCAGAATAGCAAAGCGAGCAGCACAAGGCTCTTGTGGAGGAGCATTCCACTGAGGAAGAGGAAGAGGCACCGCACATTAGCAGCAAGGAGATCAAATCCATCTGCCAGATGTGGACCAAGTGCCAGAACTTCTTTGAGAGGCACCACCCAAACAGGACTGTGACAGGAAGAATTATGGACATGGTGAATGACAAGATGGTCAGCCACTTCCGGAAGATTCTTTGGCGCAGGACAAAACAGACAACATTGGATAGATTTTTTCACCAGAATGGAGCCTGCAGTGAAGAGACAGTGACAGGGACCCCTTGGGGACCCAGAGGAGGGGACCTCTACCTCGCAGTGATGTCCTCCAGAAGACACTGAAAGCTAAGTCACCTCTTTATTGTTTTAAAAGGTGTTGGTGGTCCCACAGACTCCAACTCCACTTCTCCACACCAGCTCTCCTACGATGGACTTCCCCCAAATGTATATACAGTACAGCTCCTCCCCCCTGATGTCCCGCCTTCCACTCCCCATAGGATGGAACTTTCCCTCCAAACCCATGACAGACAGGTACCATCAGTGCTGTATGTGACACTTGGCTTGGTTGAAAAAGAGCTTTAAATTGCAGTTCAGAGTCATGTCTCTCTTTGTGTTGAGGAATTCTGTGGAGGAAGAATGGTTGCTTGCAAAGAGGCTTAAAAATGCAGTTCAGAGTCATGTCTCTGGGTGCAAACAGGCTTTAAAATGGCTTGGTTGAAAAAAAAGTTTTTAAAAGTGATTTTAAGACTGTTCCCTCCTCCTCCCTCCCTCCTTTCCTGCTCTTTTTTTTTTTAACCTAAGTTCACCTTAGGTCAAAAGAAGAAAAAAGAAAGAAGTTCTCCCCCTAGTGGTAGAGTACGGATTAGCCGGTTTCCATTAGTTCCTACGGAGCAAAAACAGCCAGTTACGGATTAAATGGTTTTCAATGCATTCCTATGCATATTCAAACTACAGACCTTTTGACCTGCGGCCACCGTTCCAATATGGATTAATTCCATAAGTCGAGGGTCCACTGTACAAATGTGATGCTCGCTGGGTGAGCTTGAGCCAGTCATTGCCTCTCAGCATAACCTACCACACAGGGTTGTTTTGAGAATATAGGGAAATCCTAACCATGTACACCCCTATACATCGAGGAAAGGCAAGATATAAATGTTGAAATAAATGTAACAGAACAATTTAAAGCAGAAACTGCTCCACCTAATGAATTTTTGAGACCTAACTCTAAATGGTACACACTCTTTCACGATCATTCTACTCTTGATCTTTCTGTGACAACGACAACATGCCTACATTTATTTTTCATTCCATACTACTGTGGCATGATGTACACAATTCTTTCTGTCTCCTATGCTTGTTTAAAACTATTCCCAACATTGCACATCATATATATATTAAATAGCCTTAGTCAGTTATTATATTACAGAAGCTCTATTGATGTCTGTTTGAAGGCCTAAAAAACGCAGCAGCCTCTAGGCTAAGCTGCTGAGAAATAGGAAAATCTCACACAACATGGCAAGTCTTTCCTGGGGGGTGGTGGTAAAGAAGCCACATTTTGGACTTCACTCTTACAATTTCTTCCCTTAACATGCCCAACCAATAATAGCTGGAGGATTCCAAAAGTTTTAGTTCCAAAGGTAATTTTTCCAAGTTCTAGGTCTGGATGAGAGGCTGGAACAAGATTAGAGATGGATGGCCTATTCTGACCTTCAACTTGCACAAAGTATAGCAGGTCTGAAACTCTCAACAAAACAAGGTAGGAAAAGTAAGGTCTATAGCATAGTGGTTAAATTGCAGTACTGTTGTCAAGCCTCTGCTCACAACCTGAGTTCAATCGCAATAGGTTCAGAAAGCCAGCTCAGGGTTAACTCAGTCTTCCATTCTTCCAGGGTCAGTAAAATGAGTACTTAGCTTGCTGGGAGGATTAGCACTCTTCAGCTTCCTCATGTTCCTTGTGCAATCAAGTTGTAAATTGTCCAAAGAGTGGTCTAGCACTATGGGGCAATACATACGTTAAAACAGCAACAGCAATGAACTTGGGTGCTGGAAGAGATGGCAGCCACACACTACTTTTTTTATATGTAGGAAACTAAAGAGTGCTAAGCATGAACAAACAACCTTCTCTCTCTTTCCTTTTCAGACATCATCATATTTGACAGTAAATAAACACTTCAATGTAGGATACATCCTCAAGCCCATGGGGTATAGCTGGTTTTCTTAAGGAGTAAGAGTAATACTATCCACTTCTACTATTTATGAGTGCAAAAGGATAAACATATTCTTGACAGATACAGCCATGCTGAAAAATATCTTAATAAGAATTTGTCTAGGCATGTAATCTTGGTGGATCAGTGCATTAAACTGGACAGAATTACTCTCAGGTACCTACAAATTTGAAACTTAATTTTTATTTTAATTTTTCCCTCTGTTAAATGCTACAATCGTGTTGCATTCTTCAGCTGATACATTTGAAACAGTGTTGTCATGACAACAGTGAAATGTAATACCACTATAAAAACTAAGAATAAACTTGTTGGTCCAGGCCATTGATTAAAGAAAGGTAAAGTGAAATGATGTTCCTTTCTGAAAATATATGTAAATAAAGAGACCTATGTATGGATGCCATTCAATTTCAGTCCCAACTAATCTTCTAGCTGAGCCATTAGACCAAGCTTCAAGGAATTGATGGAGCATATTCCAGAAATATTATGTCACAATGTTGCTTGTTTGTTTGCTTGCTTGCTTGCTTACTCACTTGCTCATTCGTATGTTTGTTTATTTTATTTATTTACTGTATTTATATTCCACACATCTAGTCAATTGGCCATCTAGTCAACCTTTCACTCAATGTTGCTTGTTTGTTTGCTTGCTTGCTCGCTCACTTGCTCATTCGTTTGTTTATTTATTTTATTTATTTACTGTATTTATATCCCACCCATCTAGTCAATTGACCATCTAGTCAACCTTTCACCTTAAAATGACTCAAGGCAGCTTACATCTTTAAAAGACAGTATTTAAAGCTAACAACACTGAGTATACAAAAACTAAAACATACACGTTTATCTTATCTTCCTTTTCTTTTTCTTTTCTCCCATTGATAATGTGCATTTTTATCTAAAATGTTTGTTCTTATTCTATAGTTTCTGCCTCTGTATCTTTTCCCCTGGGACATGCATTCACCATGTGGCCAGATGCCAGAAAGCTCATAAAAGAGTGTGTCACTTTTTGCATCCAGTTGTTCATTAGAATTCAGGTGTTAGACACAGAGCAAACATATGTACAATGTTGTCTACTTGAAAGATATCTAA